AATTATTATCTGGAAAATTTTGTCGAATTCAGAAAAAAGTAATGGAAAAATACCACTAGTCAGAATAAAGACAGAATTGTTCAACAAGCTAATCAGATAATCTTAACATTACTTAATATTCATAGCCGTTTACCAAATCGAGGCTTCGTTTGTCTTGATACTTCTGTAATATCCCCAGAGAAATCCGTAATGCTAGTTCAGCGTTAGTAACAGAACTGGGTAAAAATACTTTCAGATTACCTGACTAGTGAATTCATTCTCACAGAATATAGATGATATCAGAGAGTAAAAATTTGAACTACAGCTTTTTTAGAAATTGTTTTACTTTCTTGATTTAGATATTTATAAATTTATCAAATCTTAAATGTAAATTATTTGAATTTCATAGCGAATCAGCAAATGGTAAGTTGGAGATAATTCCCTAAAATGGTGTGTGCATATTTAACCCACGAGTCAAAATGATTTAAGTATAAAATACAATTGAGTGGTATTAACTAATGTAGAATTAGTTAAAAAAATAATAAGTTTCAAACAAAGTCTTTTTTTTTTCATTTGCCGAGATAAAAAAAAAATTTATGCAAATTTGTAGAATTATGTTTTGACATGCACAGTACCGAACTAAATTTAAAAAGAGAAATTAGTTACATTCTTAAATAAAACAAAAAATACAAATTATTTTCTTTCTAATTTAAACTAATGGATAGAAAATACTTAACCGTAGTCTATTCCATGTTTTCTAAATATCAATATTAGAAATCAGGTTGCTATTTAGCAGAAAAATGACCTGATTTCCTAGGCATGTTTAGTTATTGTATGTTCAAAAAATATTTCCCTTGTGTAAGTTCCTAATGAATTAATATATGCAAGCATAAGCACTTTTTTTTGTTTTAAATAATGACTATTTATCTAAAATTGTTGAAAAATGTTTTTAGTTCTCTAGAGACTCTTTATATATNTATATATATATATATATCGCATTTATTTCCTTATTTCTTCGTATTTATCACACATTAAAGAGTACAGTTTTTTTCAAATCCAGGTAAACTTTAATTTTGTTACGATTAACATTGCGAAATGTAATCGTAACAAAACACTAACAGCAAAAGACAAGAATATAAAAATCACGTGAGTTGGAGTGAGAAGTGAGCAAACGGTGGAACTTCGCATTAAATTTAAATAATGCTCTAAGGAATATGTTGGTAATTATGTTATAACGTCATTTGTTATAATAGAAAAAAAATTATAAAATTTAATTACTTTTGTTTTAAGAAGAAATTTTTATATCACTACGTGAAACGAAGATATTTATAGCAAAAGACAAGAACACAACGTTCATGTGGTTTGGAATGCAAAGTGAGCAAACGGTGGAACTTCATATAAATTTGACATAATGCTCTAAAGAATAAGTTGGTAATTATGTTATAACGTCATTTGTGATAATGTAATAAAGTTTATAAAATTGAACAACTTTTGTTCTAAAAGGAAATTTTTATATCAATTTAAGAAACAAAGATGTTCATAGCGAGAAATAAAAACACAACACAGACGGGTCAAAATGCAAAACGAGCAGAGAGCTGAAATTCATATTTTGAAATAATTCTCTCAAAATAATTCCATTAATTGGCTCTTTTCGTTTTTAAATGAACTAGTCTTGCAGTTTTCAGCGTTTTCATTCATATTAATGAAAATTTTAACTAGTATTCACGACCTGCTATTCAGAATTGTCCTGAATTTAAATAGCTTATTTATCTAGAGATGAATAAGCTATAAGCAGATGTGCAAGGCGACTTTCGGAAATTGTTTTTTGTGGTATCAGGTTCAATATTTTGCGATCAAATTTTGTATTAAAGCATTTAAAGCTGACGGAGTGCTGCGTGTCTATTTCCTGGAATTTAAGTGCAAAATTATATTTGCAGACATAACAAAAAAATGAGTATTTGTTACCGTTAAAAATGATTAAAATGCAGCATATTTATTCTTCATTCTAGATATTATGCTTTAAGGCATTTTAGAAGTTCTTACATCAATATTATTGAAACTTATTTTAACATAATTTAAAATTACTGATAAAAAACACGTTTATAAATAAAAAATATATTTCTTTTTATTGTTCGTTTATTACGTTTTGTATTCACATTTATATAGATATCAAAAGACTAGTTTATTTTTAGATATTTTACAAAAAGGCAATGTCATAGCAAGAAATTTTCGTTAGTTGACAGTAAACGATCTAACAAAACAAACAAAGCAATTGAAATTCCACGGATCAGTCTAAATTTCTTTTACTTCAGATTCAGCTTTACAAACACATTTTTACTGCAAATATATGTTGCAGAAAAATAGAGAAAATAGAATTTGATGGAATTCTTAAAGGAGATTATCAATTCATAGAAGATGTTAAAATAACTACCCCGTGGGGAGATTTCCAGAAAAAAATGAGTAATTTGATCAAATACCTTAAAAAGAGGAAATAAACAAGTCTGATGAAAGTAACAATGATCAAATAAATGAATAAAAAATGCAACATTTCAGTAACAGAAGTTTCTTCATCTGTTTCTTTAAACAAATTTTAGTTACTTGTTCGTAAAGTTTGACAAGATAAAAATTTTATTTTTGTATTAAAGAAGTAGATTCTTAAATCGCTTAAATAAATACTTAATTACAATTGTTGCTTGTAAGACTACTACGAGTGCTTGTGATATTTATCAAATCCAGAAAATTTTTTGTATCTGTCACTGTACTTAACAAGCATATATGTGGTCCTTGTTCAAGTCTCAGGCATCATCTTAATAGTATTTGATTGATTTGTTATTATACAAACGTAATGACATAAACGTAGTCCTACTTGAGATTTTCTTATGTAAACGAATGCAACCCAACTAACTAATTTGAAATCAGAAATCGGGAAGTCTCTCAAGGAGTAGTAAAGTAAGATTAGTGCTTTTAGTGTAGAATGTGAGAAAATGGGTCATTATATTCGGTTAAGTTGATCGATCATCTGCCATGAGTAACATGGAGAATTTCATTGTTCAAACAGCAGAACTGTCTCTTTAATAGCATTTTGAAAACAATTTAGAAATGTAACTAATCAACCCAGGTGTTCTACTGATAAAGAGAATACTTGCCTTTAAAATTGATTTAATCATATTTTTTCTACTCAAATTATATTTAAAAAGAGTCAGAAGAATGAAAATATTAAAAATGTCTTTTATTAAGAAGTATTTCAAAACTGTGCATTATTTGGAATTATATAAGATGTTTCTACAATATAATTAATACATACTTTAAGAATTATTTAGAAAAACATTTTTAAGTAATTTATATAGCTTTTTTTTAAAAAAAAATTTGAAGGATAACTTAAAGTTATATTCCTAAATATCTACACTACTACACATTAATAATGCATCGTGATACAAACGAAATTAATTTACTTTAACTAATTTAAAAAATAAAATATAGCTCAGTTGATTTTGTTTTGTCATTAAATGTGTATTTTTTAACAAAGACATTTTTTATCTATGGCAGTTCAACATAATATAAAATCAGATATAATGCTAAAACTTAAAAAAATGTTAAAATAATAAGAAAAATAGGGAATAAAACCAAAATTGCAAATTACTATTAAAAATGCTCATTTAGTAAGGGCTAAGAAAATTGAATGATAAGCCATACTTTTTCCGAAGTGACAGTTTTTCACTAGATTTTACTTATTAACGTTTTCAGTTAAGTACTTTGTAAAGTAATTTTCAGGAATTGTTACTGTTATTGTTATTGTATTCTATTTTATTGTTATGTATTTTAAATATTGCTATTGTATTGTGTATGAGGAATTGTTATTGTATTTTAAATATTGCTATTGTATTGTGTATGAGGAATTGCTATTGTATTTTGTATAGTTATTTAGAAACTTGCAAGTTTTCTAAATAACAATACAATACACTAGAACATCTCGCAAAATTTTTATTTTTTTAAAAAAAAATTTTTTTTTTACTTGCCTGCTGTTTTTTTCTTTCTTTTATTGCTTCGAGCCCTTACGTTCTATTTAATTACTTTTACAGAGTTTTGAGTGAAAACTATCAAAACATTTATCAAGATATTGCTTAAGCTTACACTGTAGAAAATTCCGAATTAAATTACAGTAAAAAGTAATGGCACTTTGGGTGTATCATTCGCAAAATCGAAAAATCCATTTTACTGTAATTTTTACAGTGATTTTTGTTTAATTAAGTCTATGAATCGTACTTTGAGAGTGTATGTGCGGCCATCTAATAGTGCAATAATCGTAGCTCATTAACTAAAGTACCTGTAAATAGGCATTGATGTTCTTCCAGCGCACAGAGTTGAGAAAGAGGGCTCAACTACTATCTCAACTCAATGTTCTCGCGCGGCAAATGTGATTGAAGACTGACAAGGCAAACGGTCTCTTCTTTTGTGTTATTTGATTTGTGCTCGGTCCTGTATTTGTTAATAAATGTTTGATTAAATTAGTTACGGCCGTTGCCTTTTCCCACGTTAGAATGATAGACTGATTTAGTGATTTCGTGGTAATTATTACGGTAAAAACTGCTGTGTATCAGATTTTTCTTTCCGTAACATAGTCCGGTAAAAATGGATTTTACTATGAAAAGTACCGCTACCCAGAGTGTCGAGAGTTTATACCTTAACTTTATCCAATTTCCTTTTACAGCATGCGTCTAAGCATTATCTTGCTAAATGTTTTGATATTTTTATTTAAATTTCTTCACAAGTTATTGAATAAAATGGTAGGGCTTGAAGCAATATAATAAAGAAGAACACAAAAAGTATATTCAATAAAAAACTCTACACGATATCATACATTGAGGATCTATAATAAAAGAAGAAGAATTTTTTCCTAATACATTGAATAGCCTAATGTATAGATTTCTGAGAAATCTGTTGTTTTCTTGTCAATTCTCGTGCTGAAAGTGTCTAAAAGAATCTGTCTAGTTTAAGTGTAGAATAAAATAAATATTATGTACCTGTCTGGCTGCTGCTTCTTTTTGTTCTTCTGCGGAAATGCGCGTGGTAGCGTATGGTGTTGGATAATAGTCGCTACGATTTACTGGGCCAGACAGGGCTTTCTTTAGAGAACTTTTTTCTACTTCTGTCATTTGGACGTTTTCGTGAACTTGGCATTTGCGATTGCTATATGTATCGCTGTTACCTAGTATAAAAATGAAAAATAAGAAAAAAGATAAATGTTAAACATGTTTTAATTGAATAAAGTAATGCTTAATGTTAAAAATCACATAAAGAGGAGATTTTATTAAATAGCATAGTTTGATATAGATATTTTAAAAAAGTTTTGTGCAGTAGTGATATGTTTTAAGAATTATTTTTAAGCATTATACAATTTAAACTACTTCATTAGATTTAATTTTATTAAAAACAAAAAGAAATAAAGCACCTTAAATCGGCTGGTTGCGGTTTTTATGATAGTGACGTATGCCTTCAATATTTTCATTAAAAAATTTCATAGAATGCGTAATTTAAATGTTATTGCATATGTGTTGGCAACTAAGTTCCCACTTCTTATGTTAATTTTGTGTGAGCAATCCTTTTATCCACAAGTTCCTTGTCACTTGATTCAAATTTTCATACAAAAAAAATGGCTTAATCATTTTTTGTCGAACTCAAAATTAGAACCTGAACTATGTTTAAGGTCGAAATTTTCACCTTTAAACTTGGCATAACTATCACAAGTGATTCTTTCAGCTATTTCAATTTCTCTATACACAGCACAATTGCCACTAACAGCTTTTATGGTCCTAGAATCCTGATTAATCTTGATTAAAAGCTAAAAGAGGGAGGTGTCTGATATTTTTTTATCAATTTGATATTTCTTTTTTAACTAACAGAAACATAATACAAAATTCATTCAAATTAACTTGAACAAAAAAAAGCAATTTATAGGTTCTGGTAGAATTAAATATTCTCTGCATACATTAAGCAAATGAAATTAATGACATGAGAAACGCTAAGATTTAAAAAAAAATTAAAAAAATAAATTAATAAAAATAAAAAAAAACAGAGGGAGCTTAGTTGCCATCTTAATGTATTTTAAATTCAGAAAATAAATTTTTTTTTCTCAAATTTACATGCAATCAAAGTCTTACGAAGTCTTAGCAAAAAGAAGGAAATATTGCCTCCATCGAATTAACTCAGTTGTAAGTTTAAGCTTTTTTTAGGAATATATAAGTTTATAAAACGATAAAAAAAACAGTTAATGATCACCTGTTTGGTTTGTATCTTGAGAGTTTCTTTTATACATAATGATACAAACTAATATTATCAGAGCAATAACCACAGCTAAAGAAACTGCAGCAGGCACAAGTATATTAATGTCGAGGTATAAAGGAAGTTCTTGGGCACTGTCATCACTTATAGGGTATATTGGAGGTGAATCTGAAAAATAAAACTTGTTTTGTTATTTAATGTGCCTGGGGTTAATGTTATAAAGACGAATAATAAAGTGAACTGTATTAATCCTGGTTGTTATCATTAGCTCCAGACTTTGTTTATAATCAAATCAAGAGCAACTTATAAAAGTTACATATAAAATATCCCATATATCTCTTTCATAATTGTATTATGAAAATTGAAAATGCACTTGAAGATATTGTATTGTCTAACATTAAAGTTTAAAGATAAAGTGAAGTCGTGAACAGTTTATAACTACAATTTTCTCAGGAACAACAAAAAATGATAAATGACTCCATGATCAAATATTATATTCATACTCTTAATTTATGAATACTGCTACACTTTATTCATTGAATCCAACATTGCTTAGTAGTTTACTTATTCAGCGCGTTTAATAAAAAGCAGATGTGTTTTATTCCTTTATTGAATTTAATTTTTGGATCGTAGAATAATTGATGCAAAATAAAATGAAATCGTTCCTTTTTAGACATTGTCAAAGTCATAGATTTTGATAATGCCATTATAGGAACATAAAAGCAGTACCTAACATCCTAGTACAAGACATGAAATCCTAACATCTTAGTACAAATCTGTCACAAAAAGCACACTTGACACAAAAGACGAAAGCACTTCCGGAGAAAACCTACCCCTCAACCAGCTTCCAGATATTCTTTTGCTAAATGTGAGTGTACTAAACTATTTCTCAAGGTTAAAAAAATTTGAGTATTTAATTTAATAATTAGGTAAGGGTAACTGTAAAAAAAAACTCAGATGAAATTATGGTAAAAAGTATCGTCATTCAGGGTGCCAGTACTTCTTTACCGTAAAATCCAATTTTACCGGAACATGTTACGGAATAAAAATCTGATGAGCCGTAATTATTACAGTAGTAATTACCGTAAAATCACCGAATCACTAATATTAAATATAAATTATTGTAAAATTTATGGCATAATATTTTACGGTTAAAATGGGTTTGACAGTGAAATGGATTTTACGGATGATGCATCCAAAGTGCCGATATTTTATTTAGTAGTTTGGTCTGGAATTTTTTATAGAGCAACCTTTACCGTATTATAATAACTGCAATCAGGTCTGAAGAATTGATTTTAAAATGAAATTTAAACTTTACAATGTTTTGAAACTTTTTTATGCAAACTTTTTGGGGCTGAACAAATATTTCGAATTATCCATAATTTCGAATAAAGCACGTTCGAATAATCTACGAATTATTGAATATGGCTTAAAAATTATCTTTATACTTTACTTCTTGATTGCATTAGTATTATATCAATTTCATTTAATAAAATATCGCAGTGAATCGAATTGCGCATTACATCTTCTAAACTATTTTTAAAATACCAGGTTATAGTTTTTAACTAATATTTATTAATAGCATCGATTTCAATGCAATTCTCACTTTTTACAGTTCAGTTTTCAAGTATTTCAGATTGCCAAGATTCATAAATGTTTCGAAAATAATTCTTCTTCAGACTCTTACGGGAATTATGTATAGCCGTTTGTACATAGTAACACATACGAGGATTAAATTCAGTTTTATATGATTTGCTTATAACTCAACATTTATATGATTTTTCGATAGATATTTCTCAAGGGATTTCTGTTTCATATATGTGGAGAATATGTGAAATTTCTTGGAATATATTTTTTTGTATATTTTTAAACACATTTTCAACTTATTTTAACATATTTTAATTTTTGTATTTGATAGGGACAGATAAAATCTTGTCTTCGATGCTCATACGATTTTGATATCTGATAATCATATATTAGTTTTTTGTTGATACAAAATGCAAATTAAATGAAATTACTTAAAAAATACTTTTATTATGGATGAGCATAAATGGAAGTTAAAACATAATGAAAGATTCTAACAAGAAAATGATTTACATTTAAAGCAAAATAAAATTCTCTCAAAACTGCATCGGTCATCATTTTCTAAGGATAAAGAAGGAGTTTCAAAGTAAGTCTGTAATTGTTATTACTTCTACAATCGGGTTTGTTCCTCAATTCATAAAAACATACTACATTGAAGTCTACTAACTACAGTTACATGTGATATCTATTCTTATTTGAAGGACAACACCTTCCACAATAAGCAGACATACTCCGAATATTGTAAATAGCACTCATGTTAATGCGATAGTAAACAAGTCTTTTATTTATAACAATAAAATGTTAATAACGATGTCTTTTGGGGATATATGTTCCCGTATTTAATACAAAAAGCACAGCTTTATATCAATTTATCATTTAATGAACAATAAGGTTTTGAAATATAAGTTTAAATTACATTATTTCATTTTATAAGGACAGTAATAAATTCACAGCTTCCTTTCTATCCATAAAATTAAAAGTAAAGCTGTTTTAAAGAATTAAATAGTGAATAATTTTAATAAAATAATAGTTGAAAAGCTTATTTTATGCACATATTTTTGTTGTAATATTCTCTTAGACTTACTAGTACTTTATATTACATCTATATAAAAACTATATATTGCATTGTCTAGACACCGCCAATGATATTAGCATAAATTTTATGCAACAATTATAGTTTTATTAATTTTATAGAACTTCATGTCAAAAAATAAAATTATTGTAATTTTATAACAGCGTTGGTTTGAACGACTTATTTAAGTAAACTGTTTATTTATTACGTTACTCTAAATCCTATAAACTATAAATGCATAAAAATTTTGAGAAAAAAAATAACGATAGTTATTTCAGTAATTATTTTATAGCTTTGAAAATTCTTAGATTAAAATATGAATTTTACATTTAAAAATCGTTTTATTTAAATATTTTTTAATTTTCTTTAGTGTATAATGTAATTACAAAGCTATTTTATAAAGGTTTTATAAAATCTTTTTTCTAATTCTAATATTCCTAATCTTAAATGTTCGAAAATTCGCTCCTATAGACTTCAAAAGATTTTTCTTCTTGGCAATAGCCCTTATTTTCAAATCCTGTTTCTCAAATATTAAATTAATTCTTTTTTACATTTTGCATAGTGAGTTATAAACATATTGAACAAGAAACTGTGAAGCGTTGAAGAAAAATATTGAAAAGTATCAGATAAAAATATTTACTTAAGCTGTACCTCTACGTTAATATTTACTTCTGCAACACAAATTATTTTTAAAATAAACTTAAGAAGCTCACTTGTACTTTTACGGTATTAAGAGAATAGTTCCTTAGGTAAAAGCTTTTATTATATAATGCTTAAACTTAATGTTTCTTTTTTATTGGAAGCTTTTTAGGAATAATGACTGTTGCTAGGGCTTATGTAACGATAGTTAGATATCGACCTGAACATAATGAATAGTAAATAATTTTACATTTATTTAGTTCAAGGATGAGTCTATATCTCCGATTTTTATTTTAAGGTTTAATATATGCTTAATAAAATAATAAAAAGTATTGGAAAATTACATGTATCGGATAGAGGTCTTATTCTTTCGGAAAAGATTCCCACACTCAAAGATAAGAATGTATACCGGTATCGATATATACAGGTTGTTGGCATTTTGAATTTAAAAAAATGTAAAGAATATGAGGCAAGAGTATATCAACCGATTCCAAGAGTATATCAACCCTGTATAAAAACAATGGCTCACACTCGATGGAGTAGTTATTGTGATATTGTAAACAAGGCATTTTCAATTATTGTTATTTTTCACAAATCCTAGAGCCATATCATTGCTTAGAATATTAAGGAAAAATAAAAGGTAATTAATTTAGATCAATTCGCAGTTTTGTCATATTCACGTTTTTGTTCCTTTTGAGGTTTATTCATTTTACAGGATAGCGATTTTCTAATCCAGTTTCTTTTAGCAATCCGCTCTCCTGTTTGACATTTTCTTAAAAAAAAGTTAGGAATCATTTGATTCTTGACTTTGTTTTAGTTTAGGTAGCAAATTTTAAGAGAAATAAAAGTTTTCATTCTAATTGTGACAAACTAAACCCAAGAAAAAATATCTAAAAAAGAGAGTGAGTCGTTAAAGGCCCCTGGATTGTAAATTAGCAAACGAACCTCATAGAGAAAGAATAATATGATTATCTCTGCTAAATTCATAGATTCGGCCATATAATCTTCATAATTTCTTTAATAGTAAGAGTATATTATTTTAAGCGAAACAATAATTAGTACCAAACCATTGCTCACCAGCACTTAATGGGCTGGTGACGAATGTATATTCAGCATCAGTCGATCCTGCTTCATTGTGTGCTGTTACTTGAAGTCTGTACCAAGTTCCTGGGCTCAAATCGTCTAATATTACTTGGCGCTTTAACTTATCCAAAGAACGTCCACTGCCTTCGGGAGCACCTTCTGTCACTAAATTCCATATTTGTTGACGCTGTTGTCTGTATCGAACCACGAAAGATTTTAATGGACAGCCGCCATCATGCCACGCATCCAAATGAACTGCGGCAGAAGTTTGATTTGTGCTTACCATTGACTGTTTGTCAGGAGCTACGGGAGCTGTGGGATAATACAATAAATCAGGTATATCAGGATAATCAATAATAAAATTATCAGGACAATCAGCATCAAAGAAAGAAAACCCAACTGAATAATAAGTATTCTGGGTGATCTAAGAAAGACTAACCATTTGGAAAAAACAAAACAAAACTATAAGTCATAGAAATTTACTGCTTTAAACTTAAACTTTAACTAAGGATTCCTCCTGTATAATATAAAAATTAGTTACAAAGTTAATCAAATGGTGTTACTACATGAACAATAAATTAGTGTTTTCAGAACTATTACAACAGAATGAACTAAAATCCGTGCAAATATATCAGTTGGAATGGTCTATAATGTAGCATAACATAAATTTTTCAATCAAAGGCACTAGCTGTTAAAGAGCTCTGCACTTGAAAAAATTCTGATTAAAAGTACCGCTGCTAAGGGTTCCAGTACTTTTTACCGTAAAATTTATTTTTATCGAAACATATTAAGCACCAAACAATCTGATAAACCGTTATTTTTCCAGTAATAATAAAAGTAAAATCACTTAATTTCTCTAATTAAATAAATATTCCTGTAAAAATTACGGTATTCTATTTTACGGTAAAAATTGCCTTGATGTTGAAAAGAATTTTACGGATGATGCACTCAAAATGCGGGTATTTTATACCATAATTGGATCCGGATTTTTTTGCAGTGTGTAAATACGTTTTAAATATGAGAAAAAACCTGAATTCCTCACAGAACGCAGCAAACAGTATGCTTCCATTTGTCCTAAACGCATTTTTCAAATCCTGATCTCGTGATTGCTAGAATAAATTTTATGTTGCTTTTGTTAATTAATGTTTTCCTCTAAAAATGAGTATCGTCCTAATTTAAAATCTCCTTTAATTTTTTGATATTATTATTCTATTCTCTTTGCCTAAATAAAAATTAAATAAGGCATGTATAAGGTAGATATAAGTAATAGTAATAGTAAGTATAAGTGATTGTATGACATACGTAAAGTCCTCTTGTATAAAAATTAAAGAAATAAAGAAAATATAAATTCTGTTATGTAAAAGTTTAAAAAGGCAGTACATTTAATAAGGAAAGCGTTTAAGTCTTACATAATTTGTTGCTACATATTTCACTCTAAAAAGTTGAAATTTCTACAAACATTACACACCGTCAATAAAGCTTAACTTACTTAATCAGTTATAATGCAGAAGAATAAAAAGAAGCTTACTTTTTATTCGATTCTACAGAATATTTAAATGAAAGCTGTTGGATTTCTTTTTTTATAAAACTAGTTTTAAATTTACGATAAGAAAGTAAAATAAGCAAAAAAAGGAAAAATACTTCTTCATAAACATACCGTAAAATCGTTCAAACAGTGAATAAAATATGTATTCCTAATTTATTATTCAAATTGTATGTTTCATGTAAGTTCTTTCAAAAGATAACAACATGAAAATAAAAATACCCTTGAAGATTTCCTATTCTTTCTTTTCCTTTATTTTTTCGCTTTGTAAGAGAAAAATCAATACATACTTTTTTCCGTGTGATATATATAAAAATATTTCTGTCATAGAAATATTTTATAATCAAACGTATTAAATATCACCTTAAATTTTTACAGCAAAGGTTTTATTTCATATTTTTTTGAAATTGAAAATTTACGTCGTGTAACGGGCATTTTCTTACCGTTAATTTCAAGTATAAATCAGACTTTTCCCCAGAAATATTCAGATTCGTTTGGCATTAAATGGTACTAAATAACTAGACCATTAGCAGAATTTAAAAAGTTTTGTATTTTTAATTTCGCAATTTGAAGCGTTTAGTTCACTGAATTCAAAAAAATATTTTTAGTGCAAATTTTTTCAAAGTTGTTTTTCAGCTAATGAACTTCTCTAGTTCCAAACGTGCTTGGAATTGAAAATTTTTAAAAATAAATTCTTTGAGCTTTAGGTAAGAAGTTAATAAGAAATTTTGGTGTTGGATAGAAAATAAAATAAAATTCTTTAGCAATCAATTTTTTAAACTTTTTTTCGATTTCTGTTAATGCGATAGTAAACAAGTCTTTTATTTATAACAATAAAATGTTAATAACGATGTCTTTTGGGGATATATGTTCCCGTATTTAATACAAAAAGCACAGCTTTATATCAATTTATCATTTAATGAACAATGAGGTTTTGAAATATAAGTTTAAATTACATTATTTCATTTTATAAGGACAGTAATAAATTCACAGCTTCCTTTCTATCCATAAAATTANAAATTAACAGTTAAGAGGATTTTTCTTCCTATTATTATTAGAATAATATAATTCTTCGTTTCATTTTGAGACAAAACTATTTAAATTGGTGTCTGATCTTATTAATTTTTTGCAATTATTTTCCGGTGCAAATTACATTAATATACTATGATGAATTACCATTAAGGAGATTCCTTAAATGACTTAGAACTTCATGCGCAAAGTGATAAATGCAAAAATTGTATTTAAAATATAACATCTGTTCGTTTGGTAAGAAAAAATATTAAATTAACGCTGTAAACTCACGTAATTTGTTTCAACAATATAGTTTTAATTTTAAATGTTATTTCAAAACATGATTTATGTTCAATAATAGATCTTAATGATGCCATAAAAGAAATATTTGGACGCGGGAAGTAGTGGGACAAATGTTAATTTTTATTTAGTTCGATATTTTCAGCTGTCTTATGCCAAAAAATCAGAAATTATTGCGAAGCAAACATCGGGGTTGGTGAGCGTTAGCGAGCAGAGGGCTTAGTCCCCTAGTTGTTTAAAAAAGTTCTATCGCTTTTGTCAGGTATTCATCAGAGTTTTATTTTATGATTTCCTTCTTAAGACTTTTTTTTGCTTAAAAAAATTTAAGAAAAAGAACACGTAAGGAATGTTAAAATGTAATTTAATTTCTTTTTCCTTATAATTCATAGTTTTAAAACCAAAACATTTAATTTTAAACTGAATAAAATAAAAAAGAAAAATAAACTGTTTATAAACTGTATAAAACTTGTTTGAGTAATAACGAAAATAAAATAAACATCTAGTACGAATTTTTTTTTTATCGAGAAAAAATAATTCTGGTTAAATTGTCATTCTGTATAATAATGACATTTCAGCAAAAAAAAAATTTGTTTGATAAAAAAAAATAATATAAATAAAATATAATTTTATATTTGAATATAAATATATATATATATTTTTTTATGTTTAAATATATGAAAAAATATATATTTAAAATATTCATTTGGTATTTTTTCTTGTTGTTATGATAATGGTTTATCAGGGATTCTGGTTTCAAAATTATAGTGCTTATTGCTACACATTTCGTACCGAATACAAAACTGAAAAAGTAAATTTAACCGAATAAATTGTTTTCATGGCTTTTTTTAAGATACCATGATAAAGTTACCAAATTTTACCGCGCTTACCAAATTTTATCACAGATTATAAAATCGTATTTTCTTGTCAATTTTACCAAAATCATAACGAAAGCGTTTCGGTTAAAATTACCGAGCTTTTTAGAGCCAGGAACACGCTAAATTTTAAACTTATTCTGGTAGTTTTGACCATACTTTTTTTCGCCGTGTAAAATACGCAAACTGAAAGTAGTATCGAATATGTTCTAACATACATTAATCTTGCTTATTATTTCCTTTTAGTTTCTTGTCAAAAAAGTATAAACATTAGGTGCCTCAATAGATATTTGAAAGAGCCGGACAAAAACTGATACCAAATTCATTGGAAATGCTAGAAAGATAGTCACGATAACAATGAAACTAGTTTTAATTACTGATGACAATGTTTCTATTAATAGCTTTCAAGTCGACTTCCAATAATAGCTTTTTTTTATCAAATTGGCCTCAACAATTTTAGTCTCACCTTTCACTCTATTGATTTCCTGTATTTCAATAACGTTTTATTACTCTTTTAAATAGTAATTAGTGAGACACAAGACGTGATTTTTTAATATTATTTTTGTCACCGATTCTAAAAACAATAAAAGCCACTTCACGAACAATTTAGGATTAATCCATAAATTTAGTAATACTTATAGAAGCCAGTCCTTCAGATCTATGAGAGTTTTTAACGTTTATTCATCATATTCATCCATTGAATGACATCATATGTCTTTGATTTTTGGTATTCTTTCTCAATCCCTTCTTAGAAATTGATAATACCTCATTCATCTTTCACGCTCTGAATAATATTTCCTTCACCTATTGATTCCTTTGCAATAAGATATATTTGCAGCTTAGGTAAGTTATAAATATCTTCTTTCAACCATATCTCTTAGCAATTACTGCAGTACGGAAGCCATACAGTCTTATATAAGAACTAGAACTTATAAAATCATTACCTATCGTTACACAATGACGAAAAAAAAAGTGCAATGTAAATAAAAGGTTTGTTGAGGGAATAGCACATTTATTTGATAAATATATAGTTAAGATAAGAACGTTTCTTAAGTGACTGACAATAAATAATGATATTTTATAGAGAAGGTTGAAACAACACTATTTGACTTCTCGTATCAATGTACATTTAAAGCTTTCATTTATACGAAACTCAAGTTCAAATTTGAATAAGATTAAGTAAAATTATAAAAAAACTATTATTACTGGTAAAAAATGTTTTGGAGAGGATTATCGAAGTATAATTGTATTAAATTGAGAAAAAAAGACTCCACATTATTTTTCGTTTAATGAGATTTCCTTAGACGGAGAGTGCCACGATATTTTATTTATATAAATTTATAATTTCATGAAATTTTAAATATATATATACATAATTTCATCATCAGCTCACATGATAATATCAGTTGAAAATAGTGCTTTCTAGTATTGAATTAATATAGCCAAAGCAAAATATATCAATACAATTGTGAGAGGAATCCCCAAAAAATCGAAACAAAAATAGATCATATTAAGTAAGAAATATACTAAATAAAACTCATCGAGCGAAAATAGAAAATAAAATTTAAAAAAAAATACAGAAAAGT